CCCTCGCCCTCGCTGGGCTTTGCTACCTCGGAGATCTCTTGGCTCTGCACTGCAAGTCATTGGTGGAGGGGGGGAAGCTACGGCGTGCCGTCACAACGGGAGCAAGGCCAAGCACAATGCACATGGCGATCCCGTCCCCAAGTGGCTTGGGCACAGTAATCGGCCGAGAGGCCATTCTGCCCGCTACTCGACCTTCTGCTGAAACGAGACAACCAACGGCGTGTGTCTAGGAAGGGAAAAAACCCACAGAGACACACCCGTCCAAGACATTCTTCTTTTTCTGGATAGAAGCGACGCCGGGACTGGACACTTTCTTTCTCTCTGCCCGCTGCTCGCTCACTGGCACACGGCATCCGTAGGTATGTTCGTTGACGACAAGAAACAGAAACAGACGTGCATAAACGAAACGGGAATTGGCAACGCTACGACCAGCGGCTCGTCCGAACCATCTGTCACCCTTTCGCACTCACACACACGCACATGAGCTCGCCCTCTTCGCTTAGGCGTCTGTCTTGGGCCCAGAGTCTGTCTGTTGGACACCGATAATTGGCAAACTTCCAAAGGATCTTTTGCGAGCGGAGCCACCTCAGCCCTCCCCTTTACCACGCTAATTAAGGTACGACCCCATGGCGCAGCAAATCGGACTTTTGCTAGACCCCTTCACAATGGCGTCGCCAGTCCCGTTTCATCCAAAGTCTGCCGTTCAAACTCGACGCCTCGTTTCGTTCGGTTCGTGCTCTCCAGCTCACTCAAATCACTCTGCTGCTCTCGTCGTCTTGCCGCGTCGGAGCACTCTCCGCGGCATCCGGGCTGTTAGATTCTGTCTCGTCACGGCGTCAACCACTTTACCCCCCGTCAATCAATCACGCCATGCCTGCCAGGGCAAGGACCCTCCAATCCCCTCCGATACCCCAGAAAACTTTCCTTCGGGTGCTCTTCGGCGCAGCGCGCTGGGCGTCAGCCAGAGTGCAAATCCAAATGCTTAACGCCGCCCGCTGATCAGCAATCATCTCTCAGCATAAGCTTGTCTTATTAGGCCCGCGGAACTGCCCAGTGTCGCAGTGGATAGCACACAACGGATGCCTGGCTGGCCATCGATGGCGGTCTTGGTGGTTGTTCATGGCACCAGGCTCGTGTCCAGCGTACGACGCACACCCGCCCCGAAACCCGGTTGCCCTTTGTGTTTCTAGCGGCGTCGCCCAATCTCTTGGAACTTTCTTGGAAAGCTTGAGTGGACGCCATTCCCGCACCACAGCTGCCGCCCTGTCCTCCAGCTAGCTGCCGCTGAAAGTTCGCCCTGCCCTGCTCCCAGGTGCGCCGAGCCGAGCCTGTCCAAATGACAGCAGGCAACCAAAAGCTTCCGCTGCTGATGGGTTGACGTTCGTTCGTTCGCAATGGCAACTTCCGTCAGAAACAGGCAATCTTCCAGAAACATGCGGCAGTGATGATCCGTTGAGCCATCAAAGCACATCCCGCCTCAGAAGAGCAAAGTCGAAGAAAATCACCACAAAACTTCCGTTCACTAGCCGTGCCAACAGCCGCTGATCGATGATAGTCGCCGGCAGTTCCTTATCTGCACCTGAACATCATCATCATGCCCCGTCTGCGATGTGATCATCGGTCAGCGCGACTGTTTGCGTCTTGTCCCGAGCTTTCGCACTTCCAACCCCCTCCCGAGTACCACCACACCCAGGCCTGTCCAAATCCTCCTCCAGCCCACTCACACCTCACGTTATGCCACCTGCTTTTTCAACAAGGTACAAATCATCGACGGCCATGTGCTAATAGACCTAGAAGACGCGCGGGAAAATAATACAACCCAACCATTGACTATTTCTCTCTTTGCTAACCTATGGCACCCAAGCAAACGGGGGGCCCACGGCTCAAACGGCATCTTGCGAACGGTTGTCAATCAAGATCCAGGTACCCAGCCGCTCAGACCCGACGGCACCACCATCTCAATCAAGAAGGTCGCAGAGAGGAAAAAAAAAAAAAAAATGGATGCAGAGAAAAGAAAACCACACGGCACACTACCTACAGGGCTCGCAACAATACCCGAGCCGAGAACGCCGACAGAAGGACGGGGAAAGACGATTACTATGCTTGCTACCTGGCTTTACGGGTGCTTAACACAGCCTCACCGGCTGGGCGACGTGCCCCATCCGCCCCAAGTGGGCTCATCCCCTTCATTAACGCGACCAGCAAACCTTTGCCAAGTTGCCTGACGTTGCGCATTGGAACGGTCCCGGGATGGAGTCGATCAAAAAGTTCCCCAGCCCTTCCCCAGTCGGTTCAGCCAAGACCTCCAAAAAGACCCCAAGAGCCAAGACTTTTACGAGGTGTCACAACCTCCAGTTGTCCCAATTGCTGCTCCTGCTTTCCAACATTGGCAGGCCGCTGGCGATCCGAAAACAACCTTGAGGGGTGAAATAGAAATAAACGAGGCTCCGCTCTCGTCCTGTGCACGTTGCGTCGCTGGCTGCTTTCACTTGACCGACCATTCGACTCTTGATTCTGAGCTTGCTTGCCTGCTTGTACGCTTGCCTCGGGCCCCGTCTGAAGTCTCAGGCGCTTCTTCCCCCTGAGTGAGCCGTTATTACGTACGACATGACTGGCGTAGGAGGAAATTCTATACGACTGGTGGAGTCAACCTCTGCGCATAGCTACGGCCTACGCTCAGCTCCAGCGCTTGGCGATGTGTTCCAAGCTTCAAGACGATGGGGGCCGCGGCCTGAAGACGAACTTTTGAAATTTTCACCCTCGCCGGGTTCCTTTGTAAAAACTTATTGGCATGCAGGCGTGGCACGACCATCGCGAGCCATTCATGGGACCACATGTCCTGTCGTGTCTTCTCTACGCGTTCACTTGTGACCGTCCCCCATGGAGTCGCAGGTAGGTAAGTAGGTCGCAGCAGCTATGGAACCGGCGTGCGGCTCGAGGAGCCACATGGCGGGCATCAAGCATTGGCAGAAGCACTGACCTCCCCAAGGATACGGGGTTGTCAAAAGTTCCAGCAAGGAAGGTCCACGAGGCATAGGAGACGCTCTCTCGAACGATGTGATTTCCTGATCTGATTTGTTTTCAACGGCATGGGGGGCTACGCAAAAGTTCGTCGGTGTACAGACGGCCTGGGCCTGTTTTCCGTACATCATTGACTATTCTTGCAAGTCATGATCGCAAGATATGGGCTGGTGGGTTTAAGCGTTCATGATCGTGACCGCAAAGTTGAAGTCGCGTATCAACGAGACTGCTGAAAGCTGTCCGTCACGACTCGGCTTTTCTTCTTTCCATTCCTCCTCTCCTAAGAGCCTGTTTGATGGTCTTTGTCACACTACTATATGGCTATGATGATCTCTACAGCTTCTAGGATCAGCATCGGCTAGCCCATGGTTTCCAGCAATGTTGATTGTGGCCAAGACAGGCAAGCAGTAAGATCGTGTCATGGTTCACGTTCTGCAACGACGCTCCCGAAACCCCCAACATCAACCTATGGTCCGAGCATATGTTCACGATGATATGAATAGCAAGGAACGTGAACGAGCTCCAGAGGCTCGATCATGCAATGAGGGAGGGATAGATAGATAGATAGAGAGAGAGAGAGAGAGAGAGAGAGAGAGAGAGAGAGAGAGAGAGAGAGATCGTCCACGTTGTGTTGAATGGATTGCTATATTGTATCCGCGGTTCTATGCCACCTCAACGCATTCCATCGTTCCTCTGCCAGAAATCAGCCATGAACTCGATCCGGGCGCTGAGAATTCGTCGTCATTAACACCACCCGTTTCGTATGAGTCTGGGTGTCTTGTTCTACCCAATACCATCAGAAAGATCACAGCATCATGGTTTGAAATATCACGGCCCAAGACATATATTGCCTCCTCCATTCTAGGCGTCTGCGCAATGAAATCCTTTCTAGACACATCCTATTATATGCAGCATCTGACCTTTATGAAGAAGGTCGCATCGCGGCCCAAGATCAAATCTTGTTGTGCTCTGGGCAGGTGACAAAAAGCTGCTACTACTCAAAAGGTCATGAAGCACAACTCTCCGGAGGCTTGTCATGATACCTAATCCCTCGTCCCCGCGGCCGCTTCCGTTCGCCAAAAGTTCCCACGCCTTGGCAGGTTGCAGTAACTACGGGGCCTACAGATTCACATTGCTTTGCCAGGGTGTGCCAAGTCAAGGCGCTCGTCACGATAGCATCAGGCAACCGGAGCAAGGGTATTAATAATTGTCGTCTGTTCTCATTAAAAGAACCGTCACAGGACGGATCCTTTGGTTGTTGTTGTGTGTGTGGTCTTGGTATGGTACAGCATCATCACCCAATACCCGGGCCCCTTCCCCTTTCCTGTCCTATCCATGTCCTTTCCTCCTCCCCTCTCTCGCAAAGGCATAGCAAAAAAAGGGACGCCAAAACTTTTTGTTGTTCATGCTTCCCCCCTTTCCCCTGTCCCATTCTCCCAGAGTTACCCCTTCCCACTTCGCCAAATATACAGGTTCTCTGCGTCACTACTCAACCCGAGGGCTGAGTTGTAAAGAGAGAAGCGTCGTTGCGCGCCATGGCTGTCCACAAAAAATACGGACATATGCCACGAGCGCACCAGATGCAAATGCTAGAAACGCGTACGGCATAACAAAAACATAAGAAATATTGGTGTACAGGAAACGGTGTGAGAAATCCACGCCCTTGCCCTGTGAACTCCTTGCAAAAGAAAAGAAGTGGGATGTAACTTTTCTCTTCCCTTTCTCGTCGGCATCGTTCCGATAGTCGTGAGAGCACTAGTGTCATGGTAAGACTGATAATGAGGATGTTGGTGTGAGGGTGATGTGTGTCGTAGTTGATTGGAGGTGGTTGACCTCCATCATCGGCATAAGGTTGTAATGGAGCAAGTATTTGCTTCGTGTTCGTCGGCATTGTCAGTCGGTAGCCGCGATGAGGCTCTCAAAGGTATAAAGCATCTCAGCCGCCGCCGACCACGTTCCGAGCTTAGTGAGGGTCAGATTTAAGCAGTGGCCTGGGAAGCTCCACGGCCACGGACGCTGCCGCGGCCACGAGCCTGGCCTCCGGTGAAGTTTCCACGGGCGTTGCCCTGGCTGCCGGAGCGGTTGCCCTCGAAGCCACCACGGCCACGGCCGCCGGTGGCGTTGCCGCGACCACCTGCAGAGTAGTTGGCGCCACCGTAGGCGGTAGCCTTGGGGCGGCGGGGCTCGACAACGATGTTCTCGCCGTTGACGATGTGGGGGTTGGCAGCAGCGGCAGCCTGGTAGCCGGCAGGGGTGGCGAACTCCACGAAGGCGCAGTTCTGGTTGTTCGTTAGTAACAAGTTTTCGCCGACGAGACGCAACGATTTTATACACACCTTCTGACGGTTGATGTCGAAGTAAGTCAGCTCACCGTGGTTGTTCAAGGCCGCACGCAGGTCCTCCGCCTTGACCTTGTCGGTGACGTACTTGACGTAACCCAACGTACCGTTGTCGGCGGGGGCCTGGGAGATGGACTGAGGGCGGTTCTGGCGCTTGGAGTCGGCGCCGACAGACTGCCACTCGGCAGAGGGAGAGGACTCCTTCGCGGCGGGCGCCTCGGGCTCCTTAGCGGCGGGGGCAGCGGCGGGCTCCTTCGTGGCGGGGGCGGCGGCAGCAGCAGCAGCAGGGGCGGGAGCCTTGGCCTGAGCAGGAGCAGGAGGAGTGGCAGTCTTGGGGAGAGGAACGGCGGCCTTGGGTCCGACGGCAGCAGCGGCACGGCTGGCCCAAGACATGGGCTTCATGGGGACGGGAGCGGGAGCGGGAGCAGGCTTCTCGGCCTCGGCAGCGGGCGGCTTGCTGGGCGCCGCGACAGGGGTAGGTGAGGGGTCGGCGGGCTTCTCGGGCATCTTGATATCCTCCTCAGCAATCTCCTTCGCGGTAACCTCAGGATCGACGGTGGGCTCCTCGACCTTGGTCTCGGGGGCCTTGACAGGCTCGGGGGCAGGGGCCTCGACATCGCCGTTGGAGGAAGCGGCATCCTGGGGAACCGCGACCTCCTCCAGTCTCTTGTCGACGACGCTGGGGTCAATGGCGGGAGCGGGAGCCTCCTCAGGGGTCTGCTCGACGACGGGCTCCTCAGGCTTAGCAGCCTCGACAACCTCCTCAGCCGCAGCCTGCTCCTCGGGCTGGGCCTCGGCCTCAGCGACGGCCTCCTCCTCGTCCTCGTCGTTGATGTACCTCAGGATGTCGTTGACGACGAAGTAGCCGGACGGTTGAGGGGCAAGGACAAAGGTCTGAACAAACTTCTTGGGCTCCGCGGACTTGATGGAGCTCTCACCGATGACCTGGATGACGATGTTGTCGAAGGAGGCTTGGGAGTCGACGTTCGTGATTCGGACCTTGCTGTTCTGGAAGTCGAGGGACTTGATTCTCTCCTGGATAGCCTGTGGAAGAAAGTCAGTAGCCGATCATCACGTGGTGGGCGTGGGATAAGTGACGTACTTGTCTGCCGACGGAAACATTCGCGACCTCAGCCTCCATTCCGTAAACGAATTGGGAGCGCTTTCCATAGAACAGCTGCAAGTGAAAAGAGTTAGCATTGCGGCTCCGTCGCAAGCGCGGTTGATGGAGTGCCTACGTGAAGCTTATCCGGGTTCTTGCTCAGAGTGGTGTAGTACTGCTCTACGAAGTACCAGCCAACCTCATCCTTGCTAAGGTTGTTGTTGTTACCGGCCGATGCGGCGGCATCGTTCGTAGCGGTGGGGCCTGGAGATGTTTGTTCGACAGCGTCCTTGAACTGGTCCGGATAGGTGTAGTTACCGTTGGTTGCCATGATTGCTTTATGTGTGTGTGAATCTAGAGTTTGACGGCGCAATCGGACCGGAGGAGAGGTGGTCGACGGAGATTATGGTGGGAGGACAGCAGGCGCGAGGGCGAGGCTCGAAGGTTCTGCGGGGCTGCTCGCTTGTTTGCGGGGAGGTCGTTCGCAACGGAATGGTGGATAGGAAAAGACCTGTTTGTTGGTTGACGAGATGTTAGATGTGTGCGGATGGACGGCGCCAATGGTAGGAAGAGGAGATGACGATGGCTCGACAGGAAGGAGCTGAGGGGGGCCAGAGAGGTGGTGGGATAGTGGTGTTCGGCGTACCTCTAATGCGACGGGTTGTAAAGGAAACGCTCAGAACTGACTCGAAGAGAGGTGATGACGGAAACGAGGAGGCCCGGAAAAAGGGTTTTGACGATGGTGCGAGGGGCGGGCTGGAGCGAAGAATGGAGACGCGTGACGGACAGGAAAGCGATGAGCGGAGATAACGTAGCTGGGCGACGTGTGGATGGATGATGGGTGGGAGGGAAGAGGGAAGAAAAAATGAATGTGTACCGTTCGGGACAACCTGGGATAAAACCTAGTTCAGAGAGTGGGTTTTTCGTGTGTGTCTCTGTTTTGAGGTGGGAAATATCTCTCGTCGTCGGGGAGGGTGAGGGGCGACTTAAAGCGGAGTCGTGGTGGAAGAAGTTGCCGTTGAGGTGGAAAGTGGAGGTTTATTTTTTGCTTCGTTTGCGAAGTGTCGTGAGGAAGGAACAGCTTTTTGGTGGCCTTCCGACTGGACCAGGCGCAACAGGTAGAGATCTCTCGAGTTGGCGGGCGCAGGGCAAGCCGCAGGCAAGAAAAAAAACACACGCACACACAATTGCAGGCAGATCACGGCGTGCCCTGTGCTCTCAGGGCCACCGGCGTGGACCGGCCTAGTCTGCCTTTAGCAGCGCGGCACCTCACCTCAGGGCCTGCACCGGTTTGCCTTGGAGCTGGATGGCCCGTCCAAGTGGGGCTGACGTGCACTGATCCCGATACTTTGGGAAGCTTGCTGGCTACCTGGACCCCAGGCAACATTTTGCTGCTGCATCATGTAGCCGGTCGTCCAGCGAGGTAGCGGGTGGGAAGAAACCTTAGATAAGCAGCGTAGCACGCAAACCGAGCTCTTGGCTGAGCTCCCCAGCTTCACCGTGAATTATGCCATCATCCCAAAGCAGCCGACAACTGCCATTGAGCCATGTCTCGGCCGTCTACATGGCTGCAACTTCGCAATCCGCATCTTGGCTTTCTTCTCCCTGCACGTCACTCCTTTTCTGCCATCCTCTGCTGCCTACCAGCTCGCCTCGCTGCTGGACACTCAGCTGCTGGGGTGTTGTTACAAGGTACCGAGGTAAGGCAGGGAGACGGGGCTAAGCAGCAAGTCAGACGCCAAAGCGGACTTCATCCTTTGTTCTAATTACATCCTCGTGCGACACGCTGCCTTCATCTTCCAAAGTGTTTGTCTATGCCTATGCAATCGTAGTGATACAATGGTGTTTTCTTTCTTGATTCCACTCCAAGCTTGACTCTACCCACATTTTAATCGGTCCATCCAAAAACCTCGCTCACGGCTAGGGTGTTGGACCTGACACCGATAAGCGTGATGACGAGGGCGACGAGGTCAATGATGAGAAGAAGTGTTGACGCCATCATGAAGCGAGGGCTGAACACTCTGTACAGCATGAGATGTCTCCTGAGCCAGCCGGCCCACATCATTGTCGCCAGAGACTCGACCGCGAAGTAGGCAATGAAGATACCCAGAGCCCGGCTGACGCTCTCAAGAATGCCCTTCCTTTTGGGACCGACCTTCCACAGCACGATAAGAGGAACAGCGACGACAGCAATGATCTGGCCCCCGAAAGTGTTGAGGGCGACGACGATAGGGGACCAGGGGTATCGGATAGAGAACAGTGGAATGAAGGCGCTGTCCCACTGGATGCTGCTTAGGGCAGCCTGGTGACCCGTCTTGAAGAAGCCGTAGTTGCCGAGGACGCCCAACATGACGGGGCCAATGGCCTCCGTCGTAAGGTTGTTCAGGTCGAGGATCTCAACGAGAGCCATGATTTGCCAGAACAATAGTGCCAGAGCACCACCTCCCATGGGCTTGGAGAGCAGGATGCAGGCCCCTACGATGTTCATAGGGAGGAGAAGGTATCTGGCACCGTTGGTGTTGCCGTAGCCGAGGACCGTGATCTGAGTGTTGCCGTTCTTGCCAGGCGTCGTGAGGATGGAAACCAAGGGCGGTGCCCACACAAACGCAGTGGTTCCAGCGACAAACACCAAAGCGAGAATGACTTGCGCGAGGTACACTCCTGCCGTCTTGATAGCCTGGGCAGGCAAGCCGGGGATCCATTCGTTGTTGTCAGCGGCATCGAGTACCCAGTAGGCAGCCGACATGAACAGGCCGATGCGGTAGACGTAGCCAATCCAAGCAGGCGCAAGTCCCTCCCAAGACCTTGAGGGTAGGAGAAATGACTTGATGATGGAGGGCAGGATGAGAGCAACAGCAAAGGGGATAGCCAACTGCCAAGTGGCCGAGGTTGACGACGTCGCCGAGGCGTAGTACGTGGAGGTGCAGTACGGCATCTGCTCCTCGCGGCAAAGCTTCGAGAAGGACGCGACTCTGCCCAGGACGACGAAAACAACAGAGTGGTAGATTGCCATCGTACGCTCCCTCATGGTAGGCACCGAGAACGCGGCCAGAACGTTCGCCACGCCAAAGGTGGTGATGAAGAAGAGAAGGATTGAGTCCTCCCAAATGGTGTAAGAGTTCGAGGCAAAGCCAATCGACTGGCTGACAGTGAAGGTCGCGGCGAGCCAGCCCCACATATTGTTAGGCATGAGGTTTAAGACAGTCTTGCCAAGGCCTGACAGCGAGAAGAGGACACCGATGGCACTTGTGAAAGCAGCACCTGCGATGGCGTAGATGAGGTCGTCGGGCGTGGTGAAAATAGAGTAGACAGTTCCAGCTAGCGCACCGGGAACGGCACCGAGAATGGAAGTGATGACGATCTTCTTGTGGGCAGTCTTGTACGATGCGGCGGAGTCGGGCTTGACTCCCTGAAGCTCAAGCTTCTTCTCTGCCAAGTCGAGCTCGAGATCGTCGAGGACGGCGAAATCCTCCTCCTCGTCGCGGGAGGCGTAGACCAGGAGGGTTACGACGCCAGCAGCCATCACAACGATACCGGTGAACATCTTGGGCACATCGAAGCGGGCCCAAAGGTCCTTGCAGATTCGCAGAGTCTCCTCCTGGAACATGTTGAAAAAGCCGTATGCCTCTTGGTAAGACCTCCACTGCCAGGAGCGATCGGCCTTTTTCCAGAGCTGTGACACCTGGCTCGCGGTAGCACTCTTGGTCTGGTCAATGCCACGAGCGGCGAAGTACGAGTCTTGGTAACGCTGGATTCCGGCAGCCGTCATCCGGGACACAGCCGCAAGGTTGTTCCAGTTGTTGCCTTTCCTGCCAGCGAATGCCTCCTCGATGGGGCCTCCCAGGTTGTTGTACGGGATGGGAATGCCCATGAGGAGCGCCAGGGTCGGTACGAGGTCGATCTGGTTGACTGGCCTAATCTTCGCCGTGCTGGATGGCTCTTTGAACTCTGGCTTGGTGCGGCCAAAGAACGGGCGCTTGGAGTACATCCACAGCGCCGCTTCGACCTCATCGTCGCTCTCTCCGCCGTGGTCGCCCTTGCTATCCATACCGTGGTCTCCCATAACGACGAGGAGGGTGTCATCGTCGATCTCGGCAGCAAGCTGGCGGATGAAAGTATCCATCTGCTGGAGCTTGGCTGTCATCGCCGGGTGGTTCGGTCCGTATCGGTGTCCCGCATGGTCAACGCCCAGCAAATGGCCAATGAGAAAATCCCACTTGCCCTTCTCCTCCTTCTTGAGGAGAGGGAAGAGGTGGTCAATCACGCCATTGTCGACCGTGTGCAGGTCCCAAACGTTGAAGCTGTCGTAGGCCTTGCTTACGTTCGCCTCGAAGTAGCCAGGGAACAGCGACAGCCAAGTGTCGTCTCCAAGGTGCACAATCTTTTTATCAGCGTCCTTCAACTGCATAAGCAGATTGTCCTCGTCGATAGCGTTGCCACCGAAGCTGCTGCCAATGTCGATGAATGTCGGAAGTGTGCCGGTGGTCAGGCCCTTCAGCCGCTGGAGTGTTGCTGTCGGCGGGTCGGCGATGAAGGGCCGCAGGAAAGCGTTCTCGGGGGACTTGACCGCCGTCTCATGCAAGAAGGGGAATGCATTGTGAAACGGGGTGTTGTCGTCTACAGGCACCGTAAAGTCGTATCGCAGCGCATCGATGAGAATAACGACCGTCTTGTCAAATGACTTTGGGTGCCAGCAACCGCCCTCGACAGTCCCCTGGCCCTTCCAGCTCGACACCAGGTCCAGAGGCGGCGCCGTGCAGTTAGACTTCTCGTCCAGCACCAGCCGCGTCAAGAGGAAGCCGCTCGTGAAGAAGATGATGCCGACGGCGTGTAGCAGCAGCATCCAGGTCCAGAAGCCAACGGTCCACCACCACCTGCGCTCGTACGCGTCCTTGCGCCGGGCCTCAAAGACCTCACGCTGCTTCTCCAGCAACGCCAACCTCTCCTTCTCGGCCTGTATCTCCTCGGGCGTCCGACTTGCGTCCTCGAGCTCCTTCTGCTTCTTTGCTCGGGCGTATTGCTCGGCGATCGCCTTGTAATCGGCGGCCGGCGGTCCGGCCGCTTTCGATTTCGGAGTCTTTTGTTGCTGGGGCATCGTGGGACAGGTTTGGATGAACTCGGCTGATTGGTTGGTGTACAAATAGAAAAAGGAAAAAGGAAAAGAAAAGGGATGCGAATCAAGGTTGGCACTCGCTGGCCATTGGACTACGGGAAGCTGGAGCAGCCCCGGTTGAAAGCGTTGTTGTATGCTGCTTGTTGACGCGCAGCTTGGGGGAGAGGTGTCGACTTGCTGAAGAGCTCAAAATTCCAGGTGCATTATGTTCCGGGCGG